TAAGTTTTTTTAGTACAAAATTTAAGGATAGCTAGGAATAAGTATAATTTATATGGCATTTTAATGTATATTTTAAAAAACAAAGTATATTTTTTTAAAAAACAACCGATTTCATCCCAGCCTTATCAAGTTTATTTCTGGGATATAAAAAAATAAACGTATAAATTTAATTGATATTAATGATAACCAATGGAGTGAAAAAAAATAATGAATTTCAAGAAAGCTAGAGTCCAATAACAGTCAGACCCAATAAGCATTCCCTCCATTTACAGAGGGAACGCTCACGGGATCTGATGTACAAGGACTCTAGAACCTTGAGGTGATATGAGGAGTGGGACCTCGATAAAATAGGAAAACGGTCCACACTAAAATCAAAGACACAATTCCTTCTATTTATTACATGCTCAGCAATAGCAGAGCCAGACGTATTGGTTAGTTGACTTTTCTTGGCATCTGGATTCAAAATCCTGGGGGTTAAGTGTTGCTTTATTCTCAGATCCAAACGTTAAGACGTCCTCCCTATGTAGTCGAGTCCGCAACTACACTTATATTTATAAATCACTGAATTAACATGATGGGGTGGGAAGGGCATCCTTACGAATGGAAGAGAAAATAGGACGGGTAACAAATATTACCCGAGCATTAGTCGAAAATAACAGCTATTAATCGCACGCGAAATTCGCCTCGCTAAAAACTCACCCTCTGAACCAATAAAGGGAAGACGCAATGACATCATGGATAACAGAGTTCAAAACTTCACTGCAGAGAAAGCTATCAGAACGACCAATAAATTAGGGTCTTAATCAAATTAACTTTTCGTTGTCTGAGACTACCATACCTATATATATATATATATATATATATATATATATATATATATATATATATATATATATATATATATATTTGGTTGGATAGATGTGAGTTTATGACCCTGGGTTTCACGCTTTTGCGATTGTCAGTCTCACAAACTCACATCTATCCAACCAAATATGTTAGCTCTGTCTCTGATATTGAGCGCTTTCTAATAAGTAATTATGTATATAATATATAAATAATTATATATATATATATTTATTTATATTTACACACACACACACACACACACACACACACACATATATATATATATATATATATATATATATATATATATAACTATGAACCTAAAGGGATTCTAAAGCTCTTTAGATTCAGTTAGATTTGTTCTACTTAGTGTATTGAGTACTTTGCTTAGTTATTTTTGCTTTACTCATGTTGGAGGTTTTTTTTCTTTGGAATCTGAGCTTGGATTCTGGACGATTGTTTTCACCTGAATTACATGTTCTTAGTTCTTACTTTTTTTTTTAGTCCTTATTTTTCCTTGGATATTGGTTTGTTCATTCACAAGCCAAAATACCTAAGGTTTTTTCCGGACGTGTATAATTACTTGTATTTATAAGATTATATATATATATATATATATATATATATATATAGTAGGTAGACGAATGAAAATAATTTTAAAAATCCCCAGTGAAACGTTTCGTTTTTAGAAGGAGTTTCGTCAGAGGATAATGACGTTATCGATACCGTTAAAATAGCGTCCGTTTTCTATTTTTACGGTTGTCACTTGTTTGATATTTGTGTCACAGTCTACCAGAAGATAGAATTCAATGGTAGATATTTTCATCTATTTAATCAGGAGAAAATTGTTGAGAGATCTACAAAAAAGAAGAAAAAAACAACGAAAATGACTTATCTGTAAGACAAATATTAACAATATACTTCCCAGAAAGTGGCCGCTAGTTTTAAAGCACACTGTATATAGAAGCGTTTTTTTAAATTATTTAAATTTTTTTTTTACTAAAATACCAGGCCCAAGAGCCACTCAATATAGAGTGTTACCGTGTGAATTTTATTAGCGTAAGAAAAGGCATGAAATGAAGTTCTTGGGGCTATGAAGGACAAATAACAGCTGATCCTAGACATGAAGAGGTCAAGTTTTAATTAGCGAATAAAATGTCAGAGTTCAGGCGGAAACGTTAGAAGTATAAAGTTGAAATAGACTTGAAAACCCAATCCTAAGCAAGGAACAAGGGATGAAGATTATGTTGCACCAATATGCTAAAGGATGGCCTGTCTGCCTAGAAGATCAGCATTCTAAATCATGCCTTTTATTTAAGTTCGAAGGGGTGTCTCGAGGTGGTGTAATGGTTAGAAAGCATGTCTTGCTAGATCTATTACGACTGAGTAGTGATTTCGGTCCTCACTGGGTGCCCCATACTTTCGGCCTTGTGCCACATCTAAGCTGAGCTTAGAAAACCTATATAGGGCACCTTGAGGCGGTGTAATGGTTAGAAAGCTTGTCTTGCTAGAACAATTACGACTGAGTAGTGAGTTCGATCCTCACTGGATGCCCCATACTTTCGGCCTTGTGCCACATCTAAGCTACGCTTGGAAAATCACTTGGGAACCTCGACGTGGTGTAATGGTTAGCAAGCTTGTCTCGCTAGAACAA